CATGCATAAACATACCTGTTATCTTTCATACAATACTGAACTATTAAAATAATGAAAGATTCATGTTTTTTTTTTAAACAGACATGTAGGGGGACAGGTCCAGGCTAGTCTCTGGCTGTCAGTGAACGGTGCCCAGCTTGAGAGCTCCTGTGTGTTGATGAATGTGTGCATTTCTGACTGAAAGATAAGATCTTCTGCCTCCTTTATCCATTTGCTACAATTTGTTGGATTCATGTTAACGTGTAGTTAAAGACATTTAAATTTGTGGAAAAAAATAAATAATAATAAAATAAAACAAATTCTAATCAAGCAAAAATGTCACGACTGCGGTACCTCAGTACCCCCTGTTGAAGACCTCTGCCTTAGGGAATAATGTAAAGTCCAAATGTTCACCTCTAGCAGACAGCGGTCTTGATGTTAACAGCTCCAGGTTCAGCTGTACAGAATCATCAGACTGCAGCCTGTTTGGTTTCACTTCATGTCAATGTGCCAACTCAAACCGTAAAGAGCTTTCAGGCAGCGAGGAGGAGCCGCTGCAGGGGGAAGTGAGACCTGTTGGATATTTCAACAGCAAACAGCTTTTATTACTTATTTACAGAAAAAACAACACACAAGTAACTACATTTGCATTTTAGTGTTTTATACAGAAACCTATTGGCCGCTGCATGTAGATAAGCTTGAGTTTCTCTGATCATTAACGTGACACGTGATCACAGGTACTTCCCTCTCTGTGATCACTTATGAGAAATGCCAACTAAGCTTTCAACATTTTCAACTACTTCAAGTAACTCACACGGATGACAAATGACACTGCGTGTTGCTCAAACGAATAGTTATCTTTAAAGAACATGCTCATGTCTGTCTGGGAGCTATACATCCTATAAAAACCTCCTAAATAAAAATGTAATTTCTGAGCTTTTCCTCAGATGCCAAAACACACAGAAAATGTAGAATATTTATGACAGACGACTGTTTTGGTGTGTTGACATAACTGACTAAATATGAGCTCATATTTACTTTCAAACTCCATAAAAAGAACAGTTCATGTATGCAAAGGCCTGGAGGAACATGAGGGAACACATGCTTTGTGTGTTGTGTGACGTCAGGTCCTGAGACCACGACGTTCTGTAGATGTTTACCTTGTTCTCTCACTTCCAGCTCAGAAGAATTGAAGCAGCAGCTCTTTAATCATCCCGACTGATTCCTGTCCAACAAGCACAAGATCATCAGAACAAACAAACAGCTGAAGCTCCTCTCACTGTCTCAGTGCTGTCAATAAAGGGCCCCGGGGGGATTCGACTGTATGATCCCACACATTGTTGGTAAAAAATGTGTGTGTGTGTGCTTCACAACTCATAATCACCGTGCACTATGGCTCATAAATGTATTTATTCTTTAGATAAATACATATTTACATATGCAGATTTTCATGTGAAGACCTTCTATATATACACTCAAGATTCAAGATGTTGGATCTACAACTCAACGAACACATTCACAGGAGGACCTCTGACTGGAACTGAACCGATGTTCTGTACAACCGCGTCATTAAACTCTTTGTAAACAAAGAAAGGAGGATGGACTTCGTCTTGAAGTGAACAGAAGCTTTGATAAGTGAACTGCTTTTGTGTTTTTACATCTGCAGTAGCGTTACTACTGTGTTCATTTGTCTATGGTGTTGTTTTTATGATATGGTTAATATTGTTCACTCTGATGTGAATAATATTTGAATGGCTCGTGCTCTTCAGTGTGCGGTGGAATACTGTTTTAGCGCTGCAGAGTTGCTGGATTGATTTGTTCCTTTGTTGTCATATAAATATATGTGACTGGTTCTTGTGAGTTGGTTCTTGTCATTGTGTTAATTACATTGATTCTGACTTGTCCGTTAATGACGAAGCATCCCGTCATCGCAATGTTTGCCGCGTTGTTTTCCCGTTATGCTAGTTTAGCGTAGCCTCAGCTGTTTTTTGTTTTTGTTTTTTTTGTTCCGGGTTCAGAGGTCACACAGCCCGTTGTCTCCTACATGAGCACAGTCCACCGAAAACATTATATTTCCCACAATTTAAGCTTCTGCATTTTCCAAATGCACTAGTATTATTCAAACGTATTGTTCGGTTCATAAGCCTCGTACCGAACGGTTTAATATGAATACGTGATGAAACAAATAATAACCCTAGCTGTTGCTCATAATTAGGTTATTCAACTGTAGGACAGCACAGCAGGCCCAGGTATAAAATGCACGGCCCGTATATATATATATATATATATATATATACTGTATATATATATACACACATACATATCTACATACACACATGATTAACACTTGAGATGATACACATGATAATTTTGTTCTTGACAGTGAATGATGCAGAATCCCAAAACAGAGACAGTCTTGATGAATTGAAGTAAATGGGGGCATATTTTTAACAGGCACTCGTAGAGATGCGCTACTCCTCCATGCGAGTACTGTTTGTGCGGAAGTGTTTCAAATAGCAAGATTCAAGGTAACACAAGGTGTTATGGATATACAGATGGTCATTTTGGGGTAAAGTATTCCTTTAAGATGCTAAATACAGAATGATGTTAGATTCTAATTAGATTTATTATTGTTTTATGTTCAAGGCAACATCTGGCTTGACTTTACATTGTAAAACAAAATATAAGACAAATAAATACATAGCAATAAATGTACTGAATTGTTATTTATTAAAGTAGTGTCATATCAGTTCGGCCAATTGTCACCTATACCCAATCCAGCTATTAGAGTCAGTATGTAACTGATATCCGATATGTCTGGATGTGACTGGAAACCTGGTTTTCTCAACAGTTACATAATAATGTTAGGCTTATGTTAGGATTTATTCATTTACATATACATATAAGTTGTGCCTTTGATAAAGACTGTTTTAATGTGTTAATAACGACTGATCTATACTGAACATTGGAACATTTACAAGAATAATACTAAGCCAATGACCATTACGTTTAAATCTAACATTCTAACACATTATAAAATATATCCATGTTGGCTGGCAGATGAACTTGTCAAAGTAGAAATAGAGTGTGTATAAAGCCTACCTGAGTCCATGGTGCAGACAGCTGTGAGTTCAGGTTCAGATACCGTATGTGATGAGTTATTCCTGCAGCAGAATTACTCATTGACAGACTGATCAAACACTGAGAGCTCTGCTGTTTGAGCTGCTTAAAGGCACACACACACACACACACACACACACACACACACACACACACACGCACACACGCACAGTATATGACACTGATGGACAGACTATTGAGGAGACAGGAGAGACACTGTCTTCTTGTTCTCTGTCTCCAGAGTCAGTTTTATCTCTGGGGTCCAGTGCAGAGGTAGGATATGTTCAGCCTAAAACAGAGACTAGAAGCAGTGCTTCCACTACGGTAACCCTAACCCTAACTAACCACGTCTCCCTGGCCATGCTACGAAATTCATTTTTTTCTTTTATCCATTTAACTGTTTGAGATATTTTTGTATTTTTCTTGCATTTGTTCAACTCCAATATCTCTGCTCTTTTAACTGTATTCAGTCCTGTACCTCACACCCTGTATGCATTCATCTCATATTGTTTAATTGCTTTGTCAGCCAAAGGACAATGAACTGCACACACTTTGATGAAAGGTTACATATTAAATACAGTTTGCTTGGTGTCAAACTGAAGAATTTGGTACCAAACAGTTCACAAGTGCATGAAAAGTTTAGTGTCACTTTCAGCTTGCTCTGCCATGACACATTCTCCTCTAACAATGAAATGCAGAGGTAGTGTTAATCAATTATTATGGCAGTTCCTGTGACCAGACTGCTGGGACAGATAATCCCTCTGAAGTCCCAATCACACTGAAACTGGAACAATATCAGCAGCTACACCGGAAGACTGAACCTGTCACTGCTTGACTGTAGAGCTGTAAGAGGGAGATATGAACATCTATTAAACCTACAAGTAATAGATGATTAAGTGTCTGGACATGTAAAGAGTTTGGGTATTATCTTGGGTATTTTTTGATTGGGTATATCTTTGAATTGACGCTGTGAATCAGGGCAACATTGTGCAGTTAGACCACTTATGTTCAAGCAATACCCTGCTATAGTGTGGAGATGATCGCTATGACCATCGTCATTTTTACTTTACTATCTACTGATGATTACACTTATGGACACAGGAACATGTTAGGAGCCTAACGAACAGGATCAGGCAGTTTGATTAGTTTGAGAGACAATCTGGAGGTCAGGGGTCAGTCATCAGAGTAACTTGTCTGTGCGCGTGTTTGTGTGTGTGTGTAGCAGTTTGTTTGCATGAGTGTCAGTGGATATAGAAGGACAAATGACACATTCAAATGTGCTTAATGCTTTCTTATAGGAGAATGTTTGTGTGTTGAATGGCACACACACACACACACAGTGTTCATGTTTTATATGTTTCTTCTATAAATGAGGTCCTGGTAATCTGTAGTCATTTCTTTGATGTTTTCTATTGGTTGGTTGGAACCATTTGTGTTGATTTTGTCAAAATTAAACTTCTAAATGCATATATTGCTTGTTTTTCTTATTCCATATGTTGGGAACGTAAAGGAGCGTGTTTGGGTTATCAGCATCTAAGAAACTAAATTCTCGACATCAATAGAATTATTAATGTCAGTAACAATTATTAATAATTATTAATAATAACGGGGCACCACCCTGCGAACAGGGACCAATAACCAAACTATAAACTAAGTCTCATAATTAGTGTTCATTCACGATATTAACAGTCTGAATACTATTACACGTTTGGAGTGAGAGTGAAGGTTTATGTTCGAGCACAGGCCACTACATCCAGTTATTATTACACACATATGCACAAGTAATCACAGACGACTGCTCTTTAAAATATAACAGAGTTCATTGAATAAAATAATAAATGATCAAATCAAGTAATATCAAAATCAACAAACACCATCATACAATTATATGTCTAATACCTAAAGTCAAATGAATAAAGTGGGGTAAGGATATGTATATAGATATATGTACATGTGTGTGTGTGTGTGTGTGTGTGTGTGTGGAAACGAAGGCGGGGGGGGGGGGGGGGCTACTCAAACAGTGATGGTACGTAACCTAAACAGGGGCTTGTGAGCCTACAAGCAAAGATGGCGGAGTCTATTGACCCGCAACAAGATAGCTGAGAGGTGGCTACGTGTAACCACGTGGGACGGCGCACAATGTGGGTTGGGACAATAGAATACGCGACCACGTGTCTGAGAGGTTCACCCAAAATCAGTGAATCTAACTATGTGTATGCGGGTTAGTAGGAAGAGAGGTTGACAGCGAGAGAGAGAGAGAGAGAGAGAGAGAGAGAGAGAGAGAGAGAGAGAGAGGAGCTCTGAGCGCGGTGCTCGGCGCTGCAGTGAGAATGTGAGGAACGGTCGGATTCTGAACCGACCGGTCACGCTTGTACGTGATAGTTGCGGTTCTAGATCTCACTCACAGAGCCGATTTAAAGAAGAGAGAATAACACCAAACAAAATAAAATTAAAGCTGCGAGCAGCATTGATCGGGCCCTCGCAACTTCACGCACGTCGAGGGTACTAGCAGGACTCTGGCCATGCATTTCTGTGACCATCATACACTACGTGTACGAGTTAGATGATATTTCCTGCGTAGACCAGCAGCGTAGCAAGATCATGTTGCCAGGTCTTAAGCCTCAAATGTTTTGAGTGTACCTCCGATACAATCATGAATGTAAGCCTGTTAAGATCATTAAGAAAATAAATGTGTGTGAATGCGCTTCAGTGTTTGTAACATAACAGACTGTCAGTTGCCTGGGATGGGGTTCAACTCCCTGCAGTGTCCTGCTGATTGTATTTGGAATTACATGAAAGTTAACCAAACTAGTGCCATTTGCTGTTACTTGAACACTTTAATTTAACACTGTTTTCATTTTAAGTTCTTCTGTAACTTTAGATTGTAGTGTGAAGCATTCATTATAACGTTTAACCTGATTGTCACGAAGAAGCTCTGGACAGATCATTTATACTAATGCCCACTGACATGGTTTGAAAATCCACTGTTATCTAACGTTTGCTCTCCAAGCATCTTAGTTTGCACATATTTAGATCAGAGAAGTCTTTTTCTCATGGTGTGCCCACAAACCCTTTCAATAAGTTCAGTGTTTGGGCCGCTGTAATTATAGAATCCTGCTTACGTCCGTGCTTATCAGTAGGTGGCGCTATGACAATGAGTTAATATTGGCATGCAGAAGTCCTAAAACCATGACAGTCAACAAGCATGTCAAGTTTGGGACAGTTTTGAAAAAGTACAATCGAGTTACAACAGCTTGATGAATGATGGTGAAGCATGTAAAATGGCCGTCACACCATATCCACGTTGTTCGTTGAAACCTAAAGCTTTTAGTAACTTTTAAT